TGTAAATTCAGTTCTTGTAAATTTGAAGATTTCAAAAATAAAAAGTAAGTTCTTTTCATACTTTCTCTTGTTCATAATTTTCGTTTACTTTATTTAATTTTTGGGCAAGGCCTAAAAGGGGAAATACCAAGTAAGTAATTAATTTATTCAAAAGTATTAGATTACATTTTTCAAATAATCCTAAAGCTTTTAGCCTCTTTATTCTGGATTTCATGACCAAAAAGATAAAGTAATTCTCTAAGTTAAGTTGACTATTGTACTTATTAAGTAAGTTTGTTCAAGCCTTTTAAACATGATGAATTTTTTTTTTTTTTTTGGTTATAGTCTTGAGCCTTTTTAGAAGGTTAAGAAAAAAAAACTGAGAGAAAGTTAACAAAAAAAAAAAGTATTTGAAAAAAAAAATTAATTTGCTGAACGGTAAAGTACTCTAAGGCCATTACAAATATATTGTTTTCTTTAATTTCAGTCCAATTTTATGCATTACATTTTATGCCATTAAACGATTATAAATTGCTTTATTGTTCTCTAGAAAGTTTTAAAGAATCGATTAAAATCTATCTAGAAAATCGAGAAATATGTAGATTAGTTGTTATAGGAAGCCACATATTATCAGCATTAGATAGAAATAGAGGTAACTCATCTTTACAGATCAAGAAGTAAATCACTGAAATTTCTATCACTCAGTGTCGTAATTCCTTGATAAAAGATCCTAAAGATTGTAAGAGAAGACAAAAAGCTATAAGTTTGATAAGAGAAAATAATAGAAAGAAAGTATAGACAATATTGTTATCAGAGCTAATTTCAGTCCGAAGTAATTAGTTTATAAAAAGAATAGATTACTTAAATTTAAAAATTCTAGGAAATTTTAAAAGAAAATATATTTTAGATACAACTTCCTTAATTTGTAATTTTGATAAAATTTTAGACATCTTTTACATTCTGAAGATAAACAGTTAAACAGTATTGTAGATTTACTTATAAATTTAGGAGAAAACTTAGAAAAGAATAATTCAAATAAAAAGGTAGAAACCTTATTAGAAAATGTAAATAAAAATATAAAGACTTTGGAAAGTAATTTAGAATATATTAAAAATCAAAACACTGAAATATTAAAAAGAAAATTTAATCATATAGAAGAAGCAGATATTAGTTCTAATTTGGAAAATAGAGTTAGAATATTAGAAGAGGAAAAGTCAAAAGATACTAGACAAGATTTAGATAATATAATAAATAAGTTAGAAAAATTAGATTTAAGTAAAATTAAAGAGCTTAGTAGATTTAAAAAGACTAAGTGGATTTATACGTAATGGATAAAGGAAAACAAATTATAGCTAGTAGTTGTAGAATAGTTGGTAATCCTTTACTATGAACGATAAGTAGAAAAACGAAATTTGAAACAAAATTAAAATCCCTAATAAATATAGAAGAANTTTGAAACAAGATTAGAATCCCTAATAAATATAGAAGAACAGATAGAGACGTTTAGACAAAATAAATTAAAATTAGTAAAAACTTTAAATATATATAAAAAAGAGAATATGTTTAGCAAATCTTTAATATATCAGAATTATGGAGAAATATATGTTTTTTGTACACATGAAGATCAATTTATATCCTTACATTTAATAAAAAAAGTATTCTATAATGAAATTGTTAATAAAAACCTTCAACTGACTCACCTAAGATTAATAATAATAGGAGTAAAAGGACTTCAAAAAGAAAATTTAAGAGCTAAAGTACTTGTTGATCTCAGAAAACGAACTCAACAGATGTCAGGTCCACTCGTGCATGCATAAGCCATATCCAGCACGTTAAGGCAGATCTATGATCGATATCGCTCCAAAGATTGGACGTGGGAGAAGTTCAATGACACGAGACGTTTCCATTCGGACTCCGACAGGGTTTACTGGATACAAGATTGTATAATGATCAATCGATGAAAGCAAGATTTGTAGTTGTAATAAACTGATAAGAGAATAAGAAATGCTGCTTTGAGTATTTAGAATTTCATTAGTCTTCAATTGTTATATGGTGAGTGTATTTATAGTATTACAAAAGGAATGGTGACCCTTGGATCAATTTACACGTGGCCTCATCTCCTCGATCAAAATATCAAGTCCTAACCATCAAGTTGACCTTTCTAGCTTTTCAAAGCATTTAATATTCTCATATTGACAAGACGAGACACAAATACACTTTTTACAAATGTCACATTACTAATTCAAATAAGATCTTCATCATGAACAAATCTTTGCACGTAGACCGTCACTAGCAGAGGTGGAGACTCGGATCTGCTGGGGCTCAAAGGCATGCCACCTCGGATTAGCAGTGGGCCTCGAAAATTATCTAGGGCCTCGGAGTGTCCACCCCGAATTGAGTAACAGGCCTCGGATTTTTACCCTATGGCCTCGGAATTTACCCAGGGCCTATTATTCAAAGATGATGATTCGGCAGGAGTGGGTCAGCTAGACCACGTGAGAACCTAAGTGATGAAACATAAAAATACTAATATGTTTATATGATAATAGATATACAGACATAGAACAAGGATTATTAGGAAGCATAGAATTAGCCATGAATAATAAAGGCGGAATAGTATAGTTTACACCTGATTATTTAGTAAGAACAAATTTTTTTTACAAAGATATTAAAATCGAAATAAAAACTAAAGGAT